CCAGGTCGTATATAAAATGAAAATTAGAAAGAAGTATCATCTTGAAGAAGAAGCTTTGTCAACATCGATCATTGAGAAAATACAACTACCTACGTTTGATGACTGAGAGACTTACAAATGACGGAAAAATTTAATTTCATTTTGCATGACAATGCATATTTCCTTTCCTAATTCAACTTCAGACAAACAACAGAACCGTACACTAAATAAATAGGAATTATGAAAAATTGTAACAGTTAAGTGAATAATGAAATATTTCACCGAAAATAATGAGTAAATAACAACAAGTAGTTGGTGTTACCTCAACCATGAAACAGGATAACTCACTGAAGTATCACTAATTGTTAAAATGATTGTGTTCCAGAAATAAATCCCCTGACAAGAACATCAACAACATCGATAACCATGAGACTGTTATGGAACTACAAAATCATTATGTCATAATTAAATTTATCAAGTGTTGGTTTGCAAAGATTTGATTTGTTACAGGTTTGATCACGAGTTAGAGAACCACTAGAATACCAGGGAATACTGGACATCTGTTTCATCCTAGTTTGGGACCCCTCAGGAGTACAAACACGTCAGGACCGAAACCAATGACCTTCCGGTTACAAGGCGACCTTGTAGACCATTCAGTCACTGGGAGCCGATCTAGTTTCTGCCAATTTGCGATGTATAACGCAACAGCCAGTCAGTGTCATAGGCAAGTAGCTTTTCTTTTACCTGATTTGGTGAGCCCCACTTGTTATGACTGACAGCTGAAAGGTCCTAATTGCAAATCTCGGTGGGTGGGCACTGCCGAAGATTCCCGAACTAGGGCGAAACAGAAATCCAGTAGTCCCTGGTTTTCCAATGCTTCTATGACTACTATCAGCTAGTGATCAAACATATTTAAATTTATCAACAGGACGAAATATTTTAAATTTATTATTACAGTAACGAACGATGTTACTCTACCTGACACTACAAGAAAGTGTGGTTTACTACGTCCAGAGTAAATAAAAATAAGACATAAAAACTATTAGTGTATCATGTGATGACACCACATTGTAAGTATTACAGACAATAATATGGTACCACAGGGTATTTATGTGGATAAATATTGTCACACTACATCAATAAATTGACACAGCAGTAAGCATGCGAGAGAGAAGATAAAATAAAGAAACCAAAATATAGACTATAATAAAGGCTTTTTGTATTTCCCAATGAATGAAAAACAAAACAATATTGTTTTTCCTGACGTTTCAATAGCTAGTGCTAATAACTTTATCATAGTATTATTAAACCAGAATTTACAAAACCAATGATAGACTACTTAATAAAAGCCACGAAATACATCCATTCATTCATCAATAGAAAAAAATACAGTTTTGTTGAGCGAAGAAATATTTCTTGCCAACAACTGAGATAAAAGGAAGTATTTGTTCAGTGCACGTTTTACGTATACTTTATGGGTGAAGTAGTCGAAGGAGGAACTATTAACTGAAAATTAAGCGCTTCTAGTTAAAGAGGTAAAAATCCATCAAGATTCAAGTAAAAACATGGCGCGAATTTGCTGTGTTTAAAGTCTATATCTATTCACGAGAATTCTCATCAGACAATTCACACCCAAATAAACAATGTAGACTAGAGTACTGGAAAATCACTAGTATGTAAAATCCCTCGGGGTATACCAAGATAATTATACATGACAGTCAACCGGGAAACAATGAATGATAAGTGACTTCCTTATACTTGAATGATGGCATTCATGCAATTGCAAATTTGGACTGATTAAAAATTGAACCAGCAGTCTTTCAATGACTAGGCAGAGTAGCTGTCTAGGAAACTACTTTAATCCAATCAGTCTAAGTAATACCCAATATCCATTTCAGTATACCACTTATATAAACGATCCCATCCAAATAAATCTGTGAATGTCAATGATCTACGAGAAATAGAGGATTAGATATAAAGACACTTAGAATGAAAGACATTGAGTAACAATTGATTTGTAGACTCGTGAAGTAATCAAAAATTATTGGAATTCGTCAGTTTTCGAGATAACATTCATTGAGCGTTTGTGAGGAAATCATCCGTTCTGTTTATGATATATAATAACAATGCAGTCCATTTACCTAGCAATTTCCTTTTTAACATATCAGGCTACCAGTTACATTTAATATCAGATGGTTCATGACGAAATAGGCAGACGCTGAACACAATGTCTGTATAAAAAGTTCACCGGAAAACAGCTCAGATATCCATGTAAAGACTTTCAAAAAAGAAATGTACAGTTGAAGAAATTATAAACAATATTACTTTGAGATATTAAATGGAAAGTGTTTGTGATGTAGATCAAGACAGATAACAATTGTGCAAAAACGTAGCGGCACTCTTAATCACATCCAATTCATCAACACCTTACTAATCCTTATTTATATACTATTTCTCCTTCATAGTGTCCGTAAACAATGTCTTACGGCCAAGGGTGGGTACACTTCGATCTTCCTCTCCGAATGCTTTTACACAGCCACGAGATCATAGCGACTGCCAGCCAGGTAAGTCCTGTCTTCACGTGGCGGAGGGTGGAAAAGGGTCAATGAGAACATCTAGAGTTTGCAACCGAACTGGTGGACATGCTGGTCTTTCCGTGGGAGTTAGAGAAACCCTGATTCCAAAACTATGGTGTACATAGGCTCCAGAATCCGAAAGGACCAAGTGGCATACGAACCCACTTCGGCCCCCGGAAATCATGGGAACGCACCAAACTCTAAGTCAAACTCAGAAAGTGGCCTTTTAAGACAACCACCACCAGCTTAGCCGTGGGTTACTGCCGTAATTATTGTCATTATTTATTATTATTATTACTATTTCGACTTATTATTATTAAAATGAGTTGTTGACTAAGAGGTAAAATGCCTGCCAGCCACGCATATGCTCCAAGGCTTGATTCCCGGCTGACGCACTCCTAGATTTCACCTAGATAGCAGTAAGCACAGAGGAGGAGGGATGGTTGGGGCGTGAGGTTACCAAACCCACGCCGTAAAAACAACAGTGCTCCTAAAAGTTTGGAGTCCTATCGCCCATTCGGAGGACAGAATGGAAAAACGCTATACGAAGATACGGACAGGCGATGACTGTAGAAAAAAGAAGTCAACTGCTTGTCTGTCACTTGTATGTTGAGAGGTAACCAGTACTCATCAATGACAACTTCGACATAACATAAATGCATGCAAATTGAACTATTTCACTTATTTAGAGTGAGTGAAATGGCGTATGCTCGCTCACCGATGATGAGATAAGCACAACTAGTGTGATTACTATTATACAGAGATTGAACTCAAAATGAACCAAATCGAATAGAGACAATTATCATCACATGAGAGCCTCAACAGAAAAGTGAGCTGTGATAATAAATTCCTCCAGTTTATTATCGAAAGCCTGATAGAAAGTACCAGGATACACACAGGAATTAGCATCACTTGTATAGTAGACGAAATCGCCCCACTTTAATAACATATCAGAACAAATGCACGATAATGCATTTAAAGGTTGTAATGCTATAAGTAAAACAAATAACGGAGAATATGAATATAAGAAAAGAATGCAACTGTGCCATTCCTACTGATTCGGATCCGTAGGAAACGTAGTACCTATTTGGAAAGTAAATTTAACTCTTCACCTTACAGTCGATATCTAAATGCCTAAAATATACAACTGTGAGAAAGTTGAGCAAGTGTTCTTGCAAAAAAGACGTAGAAAAAAATACTGAAAACAATAAGATCATCAAATTACTCACAAGAAGATTTCAGGGATAGTCTTGGTAACATACTATATAAAGAAAGTAATTTAAAAATAGGTGGAAATAGGACAAAGTAGTCTAGACGGTTTTTGAATCAACTAGTTAGCCTAATCAAAAAATAAGAAACAAGATTTGTACCATGAAATGTGTACATTTCATCGCGAAACTCCTCCCTTCAGCTGATTAATGATATAAGGACTTAGTTTTTTTATATCTTACCCAAAAGAATTTAGGCACGATGACAACTGATACGAAAAGAAAATGATTTATCACGAGTCTGACTGAAGACGACCGTTAGTGATGCGACTCAAAATTGTTCGCAATGAGGTAGATACATTCACTTATAATCTCCTAAATCCCGATGTTTCTTCGTGTAGTCAATTTTTGCCCTGTACGTTCCAGTTCATTTGATTTCCTTTTCCCTACCTTTGTGTACTCTACGGAGTGTAGCAACTAAAACTATTTCACTTCCGTGTTAAGTTCTACGCTGAAAAATTCAGTCAATCATTTAACAAGAGTTTAGGAGAATATTCAAGCAGTTATGGTGCATGGATTAAGGAGGTAACGCTAAGTAACCAGCACATACAAGCAAAAAGATTACGTAATGATATACAAAAAAAGCACCTAGAAGTGACTTATGATCAGGTAAGTGAGTCACGGCCAGTCGGTCAAAATAATAACAATAATAATAATACTCACGGAAAAATGCAATAGGATACATATTTAGACATTAGGTGAAATAATTAGTACCACAGGAAACTGTAATTGATCACAACTTTTTTCTGCGTACACAGGCTTAGTTCATATCGCTTGATAGCAACAGATTCAGGAAACCTAAGTCGAGTTGGATTTTTCGGTTGTTGATTATGGTAATATACAACTGGAATAACAGCTGTGTCTCGATTAAATTATACTTTCATCAATGGCGCTGGTAAGGGACTGACTGACTGAGTTTCAACATAGAAATCTCATCATCCTGGCAGTCTACACCTCCTCACATGACTGGCTAAAACAAACTGTTAAAGACTTCATAGACTGACTCCACGTTTTGGTCTCACCACCCCTAACTTTTTTCCAGCCCAAACTTATGTCAACTAACGTTGCCCATCAATGAGGGCAAACGACCCAGCATGTGCAACACGTAAGAGACTGGGGACCTATCAGTTTCATGCTTGTTGGAATATGTTCGGAGAACGCCTATCTCATATCCCTCCCAATGTACTTGCCCTAGCACGTACATATGCATTTGTAAACACACTTGGAGGTCGTATCCTACTGAGATTACGATAATCAACGAGTAAAGAAAGCCAACTTGACTTCGATTCCTTGACTCTATTGCTGTCAAGCGATAAAAACCAACAGAAACAGGTTGTAATTAATCTCGGTTCACCCTGGTATCAAATATTTTACTTATTATGATTATGTATTCAACTGTGTTTTTCTACTAGTATTATTATTATCATTTTAACCCACTAGTTGTAACTCACTGAAGTGGTTTCGAATCACTCATTAATGCTGTATTGCATATTACTGCGTAATCTTTCTTCTTGTATTTCGCTGGCCAATTAATTTATTTGTTGTTAACACAACTAGCAAAACTTCTCAACTATTCACACAAACTCAGAATAAATAATTACTTTTTTTTCTAGCCAGTTGTTGTAATCAAGTCATTTTATTCCATTTATTGTTGTCTTCGTAAACCACCATTTTCATGAACAAACTTCTGCTAATAGAATAAAAAATGTATGTCCCTATTTTGTTTATACTACGAATACCTTAGGTTGGCTTGAAAATTAAATGAACACACTAGGTTAGAATTCATCCCCTGCAAAACCGATCTGTTTGCTGAATAAAGTACCAAAATTCCATGAAAAAATTGTATATTTTACACCTTAAAATATTCGTTAATACTTTAAAATAATATAGTATGTATTCATTTACACAAGAAAAAAGGAGTGTAGCATGAAAAACAGACTCTACGATTGAGATATATTCATATAACTAAACAAAAAGTAATTTTTGTACGAGTATTTTTCAGTTTTAATTCTATTACAGATAGTTCTATCGCAACTAGTTTCCTTAGTCTTGACACATGCATGCCAACTAAGAATTTAAAATTTAAATGAAAAATTTTAACTGTCCAACTAAGCAAAAGATACTGATTGTTCTTCGTTGTCTGAGGTAGTGTGGGGTTAACTGACACATTTTCAAAATATTCAGTCAGGTTTGGTACTTTATATTTCTTTATAATGACATAAGAACAAATAATCTGGTGAGGCAAAGTATGCAATTACTATAGTATAAAGCTTACTGGAAAGTGGTTAAATCAGACTACCAATTTCTACTTAGTTTCAAGTCTGGTCATAGATTGATATCTATTAGAGGAAACCACGAAGCACTGGACAGTTGTTTCGTTCCGGTCCGACGCTCTTCATCAGCAAAGCCACGGAAACGCACCGGAGTCCAAAGCCTGGAACTTCAAGTTACGGGACGAATTTGTTGACCAGTCAGTCACTGGGGCGGGATTCAATGGCCCATCAATTTCAACTTTTATCAATTCCTGATTTCTAGCTCCACCGTCACCTGAGTATTTGTCCTCATACCGTACGTGGTGGAGTTCACTACTCGCCACTTCTCACGAGATCTTCAGGCAACTTTGTCCTGTAGTCATAAAATGATGAGCAGCAGAATGGTCAACAAGCCCACCTATTGACCCGAAAGACTTGGATTTGATCTACGGTGACTGGGTCATAAATGCACACTTTTGAAGGGACCTGAACTAATCTGAAAGAACTGTTCAGTGTGCACTGGTTTTCAGTGTTTTTCTAACTGATATCAATCCATGATCAGCCTTTAAAATCAATCAAACTCCTGCAAACTAATACTTGAAATTTTTGCTTCAACCAAATACTTCCTAACTCTGGCGAAAATAAAACATCAGACAAAACGAATACACTATTTATTGATATAACTCATACTTTTACTCGTTCGTACTGATTAGTGTTTAGTGGGATGTTAACATACACTGCAGACACTTTGGATTTCATTATTTTGTATTTCCGATAATACTTTGTGATGAGATTCGTGTCTCATTCAGTCTTGTATGTATTAATATCGTCCACATCAACTTATAATGTTCTAATCTGACAATCGAACCCACGTTTTATAACTTCAAACATTAAAGTATTTTACAGATTTTACTGCAAAGTTACATTCATATAAATATGATTCTTGAATATGATTACAATATGAGATAGAAAAACCTCATCTGATTCTTTTGAGAGTACAAAGTTAACAACAAGCACAAATCACTATCAAAGGAAGAAATTTGAACGATTTCGAATTTTTCATTCATTCATTTCGGTAGCACCGTCTTAACTACTATTGGTACGGAGTAGGACGGCAAAGCCAGTCAGGATCGGAAAACAAAAAAAGAAAAAAATTATTCTGAAAACAGTGTGGAAACCTACTGCACTTAGCATCAAGAATGTTATGTGAATTTTCAACACTAATTTCCAGATGGTCACTGTGTGATTCACAGACTTGGCACATCAACAAAGCATTCCAACGGACTCCTGCTGACTTTTATCAACAGCTGTCTTTGCTCCATACTGAAAATCAGATTGCCAGCCAGACAGGATAAGCAACAGAGGAATCTGCGGACAAACCAAGCAACCTGCAGCACAGTATATATGCCGAAAAACGGAGATGAATTGGATACACGCTGAGGAGACCGTTAGGTGACAGTACGCACTAGTCAAGTCCTAAAATGGCGACCTAATGAGAAACGACAAGCTAGGCGTCCGAGAGTGACAGGAAGGAGATGAAGACTTGTGAACAATCGTGGAGTCAGCTAAAGACAACTGGAGAGGACAGGATGTAATGGAGATGTGCTGTTGAAGCATTGTGTTTCACTCAGAACCCACGGGAATAATAATAATAAATACACAGTTAACCCGAAGATTCAACTTACCATGCGTGCATATGTAAGACTACACACTTCTCTTAAATAGTTGATGTAAAACTTTGAAATATATATTGACAAAATTTTTGAATACACACACACATGTCATACTAACCTGCAAAAGGTAAACTGATATCCCTGGCTCCCTACACTCATTCATTCAGTCTGTTAGCCCGTTAAAATAATAAAATGCTGATAGAAAAAAGATATCATATTATAAGCCCGTAAGTAAATAAACTAGATGAATTAGGTACGCTTGCCTGAAGTACTTTTTATCGAAAAATATTATCTCCATTATGCTGCTGCGTGTATGCTTTACATAATACAATAAAGTACCAAGGTAGTTAGTTAGTTAGTTACATATTTTTGTGGTTTCTGATATAGTAATTTTAGTCATGTAATTTAAAAAACTATTGAAAGAGAGAGAGGGAGAGAGCATAGGTGTCGATAAGATAATTTAAAAAAAAACAAATAATTACTACAAGTTACAAACCTTTCAGCATGAGCTAAATATGTAGATATGAATAGTGCCTGTGTATATAACAGGAAGAGTAGATGAGAGATAAGGAGATAAAAAGGAGTAAAACCATAGAGGACAGAGCAGGGTGGCAAAAACACAGTACAGTGCAGTACACTACCTAAAAGCAACAATGTCATTAATATACACATAGGTAGTAAAAAAATAGATTTTTCGTTTGATAAAAAAGAAAGATGGCGAATTCAACAATGCTGCTTCACACATATACACGTTTAGTGTAGCGCACAAGTATTAAATATGGAATACGAGCACCTGTATAAAACGGATGGTTTAATATGAGAGTGAATAATAATAATAATAATAATAATAATAGTATTAACGCTAAAGGTAGTAATAATAATAACATACATACATATACACGTATCTGATCCTAACGGCAGAGGCATTAAGAGCCACGAAGAAAATTTGTGTTAATCTACTGTGCACATAAAAGGAGGGATTGAAAATATACACTCTCGCACGATGCATAGGAATTCGTATACATATTACAATAAGTGTAAATAAGTTAACTTTTATAAATAAATGTTTACATTTTTAAATTATAGTTTATCACTGGAACTTCCTTTCATCCATCCCATTTGACGATAAGACCATGATTATGCTTTTCACTCTGATGATGAAATACATAGGGAAATTTTCAGGATCCAATTAATGTACACATTTTAGCCAGTCAACTTGAGAAATCAAATCAAGACGGCATTGGATAGTCAATGAAGAGATGTTAACGAGACAGTAGTACTTCCCCAAAAATGCACATATATACACTCCTTAAACACCTAATAAATCATACAATTCATCGTCTTTTGATGGTATTTTTGAACAAAATAGCTTTGATGAAGGAGTTACTGACTGCAAAGAAGAGCCTTTATCCGCAGTAGACGACTCGCTACTTGATGGTGGTGGTGATGGAAGAGGTGAAGTGACCGGATGACACTGTTTAATTGGTGATCCAGCTGCTTTTGTTGCAGCTAGTTTATCAGCTATCAGTTTACGCTTAGCTAAAAGTGCTGGCAACAGACTGGACGACTGAGACGACGGGACAACATTATTTGCTTTTGGTGACGAAGTAACAGCAGCGTCAGATTTAACCACAGCAGTTTTAGAATCCGATACTTTCGATGACTTGTGATGTTGTGGGTTATTCGCTGACATTAACATTTCTATCCGGGAATCAAGGTCTAAGTCAACATTTGGAGAAGTGTTAGTTTTAAACTGGTCTGAGGGATTAGCAGAATAGAAAGGAAGGGGTGGAGGTGGTGGCGGTGATCTGATTTTACTAGAATTTGAATGTTCTTCGGTAGCTGCTGCTTCGTAAGCAGCCACCTGTTCAACTCTTGACATAACAGTTTCTTCGTCCTCTTCATCATGCATATGGGCAGTAGCAGCCGCCACAGCTGAAGCTCTAATTATCCGACCACCTGAGGATCTTATAGACTGATTTGTTGTATGACTGGATAATGATTTGTAGGATGTATCCGGTCGTGTGGATGTCATTGAGGCAGCTGCAGCCATACGTTCTTCAGCAGCACGAATTCGGGATAACACATCGTCTACCTTAGCTTCTAAATCAGCTGTTAAACTCTCAGGTTCTTGCACCACTTCCACATCAGCTGTGGTAGAAGGTGCAGTTGAATTTGACAAAGTTCCTGAGTTTTCATTACTATGAACTGACTGATCATTCTGTGACTGGGTAGGTTGAGCATTCGTTTTCGATTTACTACCCACCACCGTGGGATCTTGAACTGAATGAACCCGGTTTTGATGGGCTGTAATCAGCGCCTGTGCTTGGGATAGCTATAATAAAAGGGAAATCATGTGTAAGCTGATTGAATAATAGAGCGAAAACTTCGTAAATGACAATCGTAGAAAGTACGTATATCTATTAAAGCATTTCGATGAATACTGTATACTCTGATAATGATGACTTTACAGTACGATGAACGTTGATTGTAAATGATATATACACATAAAATACATCTTCACAACTTGCTCTTCATTATTCAAGCTATACAGTGTTGAGCTGATTCATTTGACAGTTTACTAGTGAAACTCACGTAAACTCACGACTTACAGTGTCCATGAGGAATTAGAACGGAAAAATCCAGATGATTTATGCTTGCTTAATGACTTTAGATTATCTGGAATATGATTTAGCATTCAAGGGACGTGGCACATTACCCCAAACACTCCACTTCCAGCCAGTGGGTCCTGGGCTCGAATTCCATGCTCCACCTACCTCAGTTGGGGTAAGTGGATAGCACCTTCATCCCTCACACAACAAGTGTGGTTCATAGCCTGGAACATGAGAGACATGTTCGGGGAACTGAGTTACCTTAATTAAGTTGAATTTAACATATTAGGCTATTTAGGCTCACTGGTGCTTACAGATACAGCTATAATAAACCTGGTTGAATCTGTATATATCATTATTGATTTCAAGGGAGTAGGAACGCCATAAAACAAAATACGCATATTAGTGTGAAAGATAACATGAGTTTACCTCTTCTTTCGTAGCATTAGCTTGTAAAGACAGAAAGTGCTGAAAGGTTGACTGGGCAGCTTCACGAACTTCGGATGAAAGTTTATACCGCCGACACTAAAACGCCATATAGAAAACAAAAAAATGTATGTGAACACTTTCAGAGGGAAAAGAATTGTCTATAACTTATAGTGACGCCTGACTAGTTTTTCGATGAGAAGTTTTAGAAGATTTGCATGATTTACCGGTGTGTTCACGTCAGCCGCCATCAATCTGTGGAGTCAACTAGGACGCTGTTTCGTCTTAAATTTTGACTTTTCAGTCATGCACACTCAACCTTCACGAGCGTCGTGTTACGTTGTAAATTACTACTCGGTCATCAAGCAATAATTTAGTAACTCGTGATATCTGATCTTCCCTACAGTAGGTATGAGAATCAATATTTATTTATAAAATTGAACGATAACGGTAGTAAATACATAATAGGAAAATAGTAGAAACAGTAACTCATTCAATGTCTATCTTGTGGCCGAAATGGGAAAGTTTTCGCCTCGTAATTCAACTGTTGTGTGCTGCATTCCTCGCTGTATCATTAACACGCAATGCCATAGAAGAGCTTTCCTTGCTTTTCAATGATTTTACCACTAATGTCAATTCACAAATCAATATTACACGCGATCCCAGCTAAGCTACAAAATTAGTTAGTTTATTCTTAGTTAGGATGTTTCCTTGAAGAGGATTTACGGTCATTTCACTAATTACTATTAACAAAACAAATATTTCTTTTACTTACTCAGACGGTAAAAATGTACAACTGCGCACAACAACTCCATGATCATCAACACCCTTATGTTGCATGTTCATTTTTATTATCTACTTCTCAACCTATGTTGAGAGAAAACTATCACACATTACTCCCTGGGCGAATTCTAAGGCATTTATCAACCAACAGGACGATACATAATAATCAAAATAGCTATATTCGAAACAATATTTTCGATGCAGCATGGAATTATGATCATATCATACAATATTACACATGTCGAAACATCTCCACATAACCACCTATGGCGGAAATATTTACAGTTTATTGTGTTTATCACTAATAATAATTTTTTTCATTCCTTTGCGTTGCAATCGACTTCAACCTCTGGAATTTCAATAGCGATTGTGTTTTTACGGGGTGGGGTTGCTAGCCTCATGCCCAACCTACCATCTTTTTCTAGGCTTACCAGGAAAAATTTAGGAGTACGTTAGCTGAGAACTGAATCCTAAGACCAAATGTATGGTTGGGAGGCATTCTACCCCTGAACCCCTGACGCACTCTAATATTAAATAGTGAGTAAATAACAATAAAGAGAATAATAGTAATATTAGCTAAATTTTATTTTTTGGAGCGTAATTAAAAAGTAAGAAGCACAGAACCTGTCAGCTTACTGACATAGCCAACAAAATTAGTTCCAGCTGAAAAGCCCTTGTTATGCAAGAAGAGAGATAAAAGAGCAGAAAAGAAAACCTAGTATCCTGAAGAACACCGGCTTCACTAAGTGATGAAGGGCAAGACTTCCCTATATATACATGATATACTATTTACTTTCGACGAAAGAGCAATGCTATCCAGTGCTCACTCACTTTTTATCATAACAAGCTTATTTAACAAAAGAAGTATAAGTACATAGTCAAAAGGGGATGTGTAATCTAGGAAGACACAGACAACTGGAAGTAGTATTATGATGCAAGCCACTAATAGAACACCCAGAGGGCTGCTGAGCTTGCAATAGAATTGTTTCGGATCATTAATGAGACTTTAAGATTAGGTAGGAGAGATATCCCTATTATTCTCAAAAACGGGAAGGCAACAGCAGTACGTTTAAGTCTTATATATGGCTCAGCAGATGACTAAGGTGAAGATATCATCTTGGTGACCTTTCAAGCAGCGTGCACAATTTCTTGGAAAATAATGCATTACCATTGAGAGGATGAAATACAATATCCACACACTTCCTTTAGAAAATACTTGGCTTTTGGATGGATTTAAGTTAAGAGAACAAGGAATGTCACTTATCCGCTTTCTATCAGTAATTTCTTCAGAGTTTTCACATATTTCGATGTGGTTGTGTTCTCCGAACTAAGTGGTTTAACTATGAAGTTTTCAATGTCTTCCTAGGCAATATCTTAAGGGCAAACTTCAATAAGAAGTAAACTGATTTGAATTCTCTATGAATGAATTGCGTCATTCATGAAGTTAAATAACGTCGGGCTAAAGTGTCAGTGGGAAAACGCAAACACATTTCACAGGAAAAACATACACAGTAGAGCATTTTATTATACACGTAAAAAAATATTCTCATATGGAAAATCTATTAAACTCAGCTGTCAGATATTGAGTATTGGTAAAAAAAGTGAATAATATCAACGGCGCCTAGTTGTCTTTTACAAATAAAAAAGATAACATTTGAAACATTACACACACACTGAAAATGACACAAAGATTTCCCCCACCTTTTTAATACAGTCCATAAGATTCCATGCTTCAGCCAACTGTGGAAGTCGAACAGGGATCGAACGAATTTTCACTAACACTTGTACAGCTGATTCAAAATTCTCATGTCCTCTAATTAAACTGGTTTTCAAATCACGACAACAATGATTCAGTTGAGTGACTGGATCAGGTAGTGTTGCTTTTTGACGGATATCTGCATTTTTGGAGGTGGAATACAAAATGTGATATAACAAAATAAAAGTCTTCTCACATACAATAACTATTTAGACATTATTATAACAATTACTGCAAACAGTAACTGACAGACTAAGCTAAGGTCAGATAAAATATGGGAGTAAGTATGCAACCAAGTCAAGATGTGTAGAACAAGCCAACAAAACACATCTACTGTTTCAGAGATAATGATATTAAGTGACTGACCAGACAACCTCCTTGGATGGAGGTAGGTTCGGATCCTTCACTGAAGTCCGACTCCGAACTCAATCTCAGATACATTATAATACTATTACTACTATGAAAAATGACTAACTTACCATTTGAATCATTAGACGACCTAAAAATGTAAAGAAAAAGATGAATATACAAAAGTATTTGTCTTAGATTAGGTATATAAGGAATAAAAGTGAAAGGATGTCTAAAAATTGTCTACAACAGTGATTGTGTCATTCAATCTAGTTATAGACAATAGAGGACCTAGTGATAGTGCATAAACCAAATGCAATTGTAAACATCAATAGTACGTTAAAAATGAAATCCCACTTCAGACAGGAAAACTGAATAGATATCTCACCATCCCTATTCACAATAGCTCTGGCTTACAGTATGGAATCATAAAATCTGTTTCAAATATTTAACCAGGGTGAAAAGAGATATTAGTGCAAAAACGATAAGAAGTTTAGGTAAAAGAAAACTGATAATAAAAAAGGAATTGTGAGTGAAATACACCATCATTCGGATAGTTGTGAACCATATGATCACCAAGAGAATTTGACAATAATTCAGGCTTTCATTGCGTCTCCAAATTAAAAGTTGAAACTTCATTATTTATAGATGGAAAACCAGGTTTCTCCCATTTTACATTAATTTCACCAATGCAAGCGATGGTTAATCATGTATTAAAGATGTCCCGCCAATTTTGTCCATTGAAAGCAAATAAGTTTATGAACTAATTTATCCACTTTACCATCCTACTTTACAATGATATAAATTCTATAATCACCATTGTCTGAGCACTTGATATACGCAAATGTACTTAACTGCTACGCTTGATGGAAAGGCGTAAAGCAGCGTTATATATTAATTGGTTTCTTATCGATATTGGATGACAAAATAAGTTGTTATGTGTAAAAGCACCTCGAGATATGAAGCTCTTATGCTACAGTTGCCAACTGAACATTATATATATATATATAGCACTTCACAGATACCACAAATGTAGAGAAAGTAAATTATCCTCATTCCAAAATATTTTCCCTATATTGACAGTTTCCAAATAGAAATTTGCACAGAAGTGCAACAGTTCAAGTTGTCACACTCCATATATCATAAAAAGGTATGAAAAAAGGAGATTAAAAATAACTCTCATGAGCGGAAATGTACAGAAGAAGAACATAGAAAAACACGAGGGTTTAGAACTCCGTACTTTCTTAACACTCTGAGCCTAAACCTCGATATTACTCACCCTATTATAACACCTAACACAGGAAATAAAACAAAAGCATCTGTGGTTGAAGGCAGTTGGCCTCTTCATTTCTTACACTTTCGGCAATCATTTCTCATGGACATAAAGGAGGAAAGAGCGAACTACTGAGCAGTACACACGACTGTTTCATCGACAGCTGGATATTACCTCTAGAGATAATGAAGGTTGGGAAATGCCATATGAAAATTCTATACCCATGTTGCGAATTCTTCAGTGATCACAGCATTAGGGCTGAAGCAGATCCCACAATAAGTGAAGTAGTCAACACGTCCTACCACTTCACTCCCTATCATGAAGCTAGAAGTTAATGTAGTGCACTCCTACAGCACCACTTCACACTTGATAGGAGCGAGTAGTATGCCAAGCGTTCTAAGGTATCTGCTCATGGTGTTCAGAACACTATATTTCATCAACATCTTCGCCTAGGAGGATAATATCATCTGCACACTACGTCAACAAAACTATTACCTGATAACAAGTCAATCCAGGGAAAAGTAAGATAATATACCATACTGGTGACTATTTAGTGTTTGTCAGATCAACACTTCAAATGAGCATGAAAAAGTAATCAAATACATGTGTATTACAAATGATAGACAGAATGCATTCAGTGACTGATTTAACTGGCTACATAGGGAACAGGAAACATTGCGTAAGATTATAGGTTTCCAGGCCGTAGGTGTTACGAACTTCCTGAAATAATTTGAGCGCCGAGTCAGATTGATTCATTATAAATTATTTAAATTAATCCCAGCGTGTTAAGAAAATCAAAACAAGATTTTTCTGAACTATGCAAGAATGAACACAACAACAACTTGACATTAGTCATTACAAATATATGTGATGACTGCTTACATATTTTCTATTGGTAAAAATGTCCATAGACAAATGACCTTCAAATAAACTGACTTTAATGTATGTAAAATTTTTGACTATATATTTTGATGATTAATAAAAATTCGAATAAACCTGCTGAAGAAGCTGTGGCTTACACAGCGAAACGTTCAGAAAAATCTTGTTTTGATTTTCTTAACACGCTGGGATTAATTTAAATAATTTATAATGAACATTGCGTAATAATAGAGAAGGGAACACTTTTAATTGCAGAACATTGCGTAAGTTATGTTTAAATATAACACAGAAATATATATATATATCCATCTTACCTTTCTTCACGCACAGAATTCGATTTCTGTTCCGGTTGCTTTTCTTTTCTCTTCTCTTTCACAGCATGATGACTTGATTTCTGTTTCCTGGATTTGACAGGCTTATCCGATTCGTTCAGTGCAGGCTGTTTTGAGGAGGAATTAATTTCCTTGGATTGTGACGAACTCTTCTTGTTGAGATGTTTAGTGGTTTTCATACTTTCACTTTTCGATGGACGAACATTCTCTGAATCAGAATCACTTGAAGACACAGAAATGGCTTTCATCGACTTTTTTTCTGGAAGAATCGTATCATTTTCATCTGAACTATCTGAAATAGAAATCAACTTTTTACGCATAGGACGCTTTCGATCTGACAAATGTTTTGCACTAGTAGTAGATTTCGAGACAACCACTTCAGGTGAAGCCTCAGGAGTATTTCGTTCATTAATAGGGGATTCATGAGAAGATTTGGTTTCCGTTTCTTCGAATTCATGTATCCTGATTTCTTCTTGTTGTAAAACTCTTTCATTCGACTCATCGTTATTGACTGCTGTGTGGTCAATTGATTTGCAACAGGTTTCAGCTGTGTCAGTATCATTAATTTCCGTTCTGGGCCTTTTATGAAGTGGAACATCATTTGATTGTTGCTTTAATACACTATCTGACTGAGAATCATCATCCTTTTCTTCATCACATTCTTCAGACAGTTCACGTCGTTTACAACTTGAAAAAGAATCGCAATTGGCATACTTCTTTGTTGGTGATTGAGAATTGACATCCTTAGATGAAAGCTCTTCCATAACAGGAGAGTTATTTTGATAAGTCGGGAAAACAGGATCAGGAAAATCAATATCTTCAGACTGCTCGAGACCTGCTGATAACCAAAACACATAAGATTCAGTGTTTGTGAATATTCGAAAATATTTTAGACAAGTTCTTGAGAACCATTAATCCATAAAATTAGGAAAACGTTTCAAACTACTTATCGATAGTATGAGTAGACTACAACTTTACCAGGCATTTTTTACTCCGCGTTCCGAGCGGGACATATGGCTTAAAGCCCTGTCTGTAGTAGCAGCGTTGTTTTTTATGGGTTGGTGTTGCTAGCTTCATACCCGATTATCTTTTGCAATTAATACTTGCTAAGCGAGGTTAAGGAGTAGGTCAACCGGGAATCAAGTCCGGATCACGTGCGTGGTTGGCGAGCATTTTACCAATGAACCACTGAAGAGCCAGGTAATTACTAATTCCGATTCCTATCAAAAATATATGAATTCAATAAACTAACCTTCTCCTTCATATTTCTAATGAAGATTTACAACACAGTAGCAGACACTAGTTAACCAGTTAACATGGCTTATTCACCGTATATTCCTGTAAAACTTAGGGAATATACTGAGATTTCCACAAGAAATAAAGATGTTTTAACAAAATATAAACCTTATATGCCGAACTAATCGAAACAAATTCACTTAGCCTATGACCCACTGTAGCATATAAACCAAAGACTCAAAGCTCCTGAGATTCCGAAAGCATGTTCGGTGTACCCTGATAAAACTAACTACATCCTGAGAATTAATAAACAAAAAAAGTTTATTCATTAACCCAAATAACTGGTACAGCTTAACTGTCATATTGCACTTTTTTATATAAATTTTGTTATAACTTCATAATAGATTTAACACTTACAATGATAAACCATGGCAGTGAATGAGAACCAGGAGTTTAACCACATTACATAAGGAGTTGGAAGCAGAAAAATCATCTGAAACTTACTGAGTGGACTCCGATGCCTGTCTTCGGACAGGATGGGAATAGGTTGAGTGGAAGCTAAGTCCAAAGAATCATCATCAGTTTGAATAGGTTCTGAAAGTGGAGCAGGAGACCAATGATCAGCCATATCCTTCGAAGTGACTTGTTCGCTAATATTCCCCCATTCATGATTACTAGCATTTTCTTGACAAGGGTCAGAACTTTTTGTAATCGATTCTTGTTCATCATCATCAAGGGATGCACAATCCTGTTCTGCTAAACGTTGTTTTTCTAATTTATGCAGTCGTTTTAATTCACGCTTAGCTTCTTTACGAGCACGTCGTTCTGCACGTTTTTCTTTTGCTAATCTTTTCGCCTCTCGTTTAGCCGCTTTTTTTAAAGCTTTCTTCTCAGCTTTCTTTTGCATTTTACGTGCAAGTCTACGAGCTTCTCTATCCTTATGGTGTGAATCTTTCTCTTCTGATGAGTGATCAGTTGATGAATGGCGACGATGTTTCGTTGAGCCTGTATCTTCTTTCTGAAAATAGTCATCAGAGAGTAAAAGTTGATGTGTTGTATCCTTATTCATTCCTTCATCATCATTACTTTCTATCGGATGTGGATCTAAGCTACTACCTCTTGAATGATCTGAACTAATATCACTTGAAGTATCACTTAGATGGTTTGTTTGACCATTACTAGGTTGATTATTACTGTTAGTTGAATGCTGTACTTCATCAACTTGCGATTTCCTGAGGGGAAAACAAACGACAGAATAACAATGGATGTACATGAAACACTTCAATGTAATATAAAATTTGGTAGTGTATTAGAATTCACTAGTATGTTTTCAGATGGATTTCTACATTACCCACTACTTACAAAACTATACATTTAAAAAAATTTTATGTCACATGCTGTTCAGTTAGTACTTCAGTTACATCTTAAATTTTGGTATCTGGTGCACTTAATTAGAATGAAGTTTAGAGATAAGGGATTCAAGTGCTAATACAATTATGCGACTGGTTAGCACTTCCCAGTTATTCAGGAGAGCTTCGTGTGCATTTGGAAGTGTGTAGACAGTTGTTACTTCCTGGCTGCCCAAACCATGGGAGTTGAGTTTTTCTTGCGGTGGCTGAAACAGGAAGCGAATTAGTGTTGAACGACCGTAGAGCCCAGGGGATAACAGCTTGAGGCCAGTTATACACGACCTGTTTGAACTGGTTATTAGAGTTGTGTCCGTAATAGGAACTTATCGCCGGCTGCAGACCACTGTAGGAAAAGTCAGGATGTCCAACCTTAGGGGTTGGCCTTTTCTAGTCCTACTTCTCTCCAAAGTGCAGAGGCAGCATAGCCTGTATGCTGGCCATGAAGGAAACACCTCACTGTTGTTACATCCTAGTACCCCACAGTTCGACCTTGGCCATAGACCCCTCAGCATAGTGCAAGCATTTTAATAGGGATAGGTCTCACTAGTTTAGACTACGCAGTCTTTATGAGTGACAACACCGATAAATCCAGCCTTTTAAACACCATGAGTGCACATCTAGATATATTTAATACGGGATTCGCCGAAATTAAATGACACTACACAACGGCTGTGTACTAATTACTGGTTTAAGAATAGTGAAATGGTTAAATGAGTTGACCAATTCACTCATTTTTCAATTCAGTGTGAACAAACTAATACTGTTAGAGAAATTACCTTGTAAATGACAAGTAAGGGAAACGTCACATCTAAGCACACTGCGATTATAAATGACCCAAATGTTTTTACACACAATTATTTTCGCAATGACAACACAGCTACAACAGTAAAAGGTGGTATGATTATTAACTCTTTAAAGAGTTAATAATCATACCACCTTTTACTTCCTTACTGTATAAACAGCATAGCCTACTAGACATGTATGCAGTTAAGCAGTTTTTTTATTCCTTTACGTTCCCAGTGAAATATAGGGCTTCAAGCTAGAGGCTTGAAGTTTCAGGAGTTGAGGGTGTTTATTTTTACCAATCTTGCCTTTTTACCAATCTTATTACTGGCCTAGAGAGATAAAGAAGGAATGCATCGACCGAGGATCGAACCCCGGACCACATGCATGGTCGGCCAGCATTCTACCGCTGTGCCACCAACGCACTGCAATTAAGCAGTCGCAACACTTTACTGACAAAGAAACCAAAATCAACTATGAAGAACTTTAAGCAACACGATTCAAAATCAGTCGCAATTGAGACTTTCACTTCAGTCATATCTTGCTTTAAATCTCAAAGGTCACGTTACTGTGACCACTGCTAAATGTTTTTAACGGTATCCTATTTCCCTCTACCCTAGTTCCCATAAACGAGCTGGCGTGGCCGAGGATGGGAACACTTTGGTCTTCCTCTCGAAATACGACCACGCGTTCACAGCCTCTGCCAAGTATGTCCTATTCCCTGCATTCATGAGGCTGGGATATTCTTCACAAAAGTGAAACGGCGAACGTCCGGTACTTACAACCAGAATGATATACATACACATCTACCTAGGGGAGCTAGAAAACCCTGGTTCCAGACCTGTGGTGTACAAGGGCTGCAGAACCTGGAAGGATCGAATGGTGTATGAACCTGATTTGGCCACCGGAAACCACAGGAACGTAGCTACTGGGGCTGCTGCAATGCCTTGTGGATCAGGCTTCAGTCAAATCAAAAGATAAGGGGATGGTCCACTAAGACAATCACATTCTTTGGTCTAGGCGTCCAGAGATTTTGTGTAGTGCATTTCTTGGTGCCCGTAATGTACCAAGTTGGTAATAATAATAATAATAATAATAATAATAATAATAATAATAATACCGTAGTACAATGCAAGAAATTTCAACTCAATAGCCAAAGGTACTAAGAAATGAGCTGAACTTATTTTATGAGAGTAGATATAGTTCCTTAAAGTTCGGTAAATGAGATGTTTACAAATGTAGCTTAATTTTCTCTCCTCAATCACTTGCAATAAGGCACAGTAATACAAGGATCTATTCTGTCTTTTGATGTCTAGTACCATACATTTATCTCTCATACCACAAAACACATCTGAATTACACTACAAATAGAGGAAGTACCAGTAACTTATGATTACTAGTTGGAAATGTAGCCAGAAATGGCTTCTTTTACTAAGTGGTAACTCCTGTGTCACAACAATTCGGAATGACAATTCATTTAAGGGTTAGGAGTCTTCTATATGTTGCTATTTCTCAAATGACAGGAAAAGACGAAGGTGAAATAGGATGAGTAAAGTCACCCTCCAGAAAACTGTTGATACTTATCGATAATGAGCTAAACTCCTGGAGATCTTTCTGTCGTATGGTAATCGACAGTAATTGATAGGAAGCAATTTTATTTGAAGGTGAAATAGTTATCACAATACAGAGCAATATATGTGGGCATTTTAACCCGAAATAGACTCGTATGAAGAACAATTACAGGTTACATCCTTACTAGTGGAACATGAAATGATTCAATTATAAAGTAAAATCCAAAACAATAAACTTAGTGACAATTTTACTACAAAACAAATTAAGTAAATCGTTAACACCTATATAGTACTGAACAACTATACTAGTCTTACATTGATGAGTACTTTGTCAGACATTAAAGTTAGTAACTTATCTCCACATTATTTCCGGGAGCACAATACGGATAGATTAGTGGACCAATATTAAAACTAAGCACAGATTTACATCAGTTCAAGTAACCACGGTTTGATTAAAAAAAATATCCAAAAAAATGACAGTAAAAAGGCAGTGATACCACAATGCATAATCGTATGTGAGAGGAAGAATAATTTAATGAAAAGTAGTGATGTTAAGACTGTAACGAAACTATTAACTTGCATTACTCAGGTTGTAAAGAGTTGATTATTATTATTTCTGATTCATTTAAAACTATTTTTTTATCAGTACCATTATCTTAACTCATTTTAATATTATTATTATTATTACTAACATTATTATTACTATCCCTATAAACCAACACTTGACTATTAATATTATTTAGTTCGCGATTCGTAGTATCTTATCAGTCATATCCCCTGATGTAATTCTAACTGTACATATATATATATATATATATATATATCCATGTAAGTGGAGTATCCAGATGAAGAGTTATACCGAAATTTGATGGATTCATTAAGTCCTGCTTTATTAACTTTTGTTGCTTGCTTTGAAACGGATCTTATTCTGCTCCATAGTTCCTTTATTTAAATTCACTAAAGAAGAATTTTTGTATGAAATTTTTAACAATCTGAGGGCCCTAGATACTAAAAACTACACTTTTCTACGTGGCTTAGACGAACAATCAGTGACTTTATGGATGTGTCATATTTTCTGGCTGTAGTCGGTACTTCTTCCAAAAACTTGTCCCAATCAAGCTAACAACGCTAACTGAAGGAAGTGAGATCTCAGGATGAGTCGAATCACAACATAGCTTACCATATTACTCAACAAAAAGCGAGCAATGGAACGACGGCAATTATTCAAGACCTGTAATTTTTTTATACTTACTGCTGGCTAGGCTTAAACAGTGCTGTCTAGCAATGTGTAATTTCAAAAATTCCTTAGGTGGACTTTAGACTGTACTAAAAGCTAGAGCTGTAGGTCTCCCGCCGTCAGTGCTTGACTTCCAACCACCACCATACATCACCATTAGCCTTCTTCCAACAAGTGTCACTTGTTAGTAACTGCATTTTCAATTTTTTCACCCGATAAATGCATAACTTCAAAGTACTTAACTGGTAACACCACAGGATTTTGTTCATAGGTGACAAATAAAAACCTTGCGACAAGTATGTTTTACGTATTAATATTGCTTGATCGTCTTGATTGATAACAAGAATAAGTCTAAATTGGACTACTGCTACGAAATAGTTAATAACGTCTCAGATAATCACCATTCAACACACTAAATATAGTGCAATCCACTAACTCAGCGTGAATCGTATCTGAATATAGCTCATTGACCTTAAATCAGTGAGTTATAGATCTTACCCCCGCTTAACTTAAGCAGCTTAACATCATAACACAAAACAATACGTTAACTTACCTAGAACAGTGACGCTTGTACTTGCGACTGCACTCATCGCCTGAAAAAAAATAAAATCAAGAAATACACGTGATATACATCATATACATGTATATCACCGATTGGCGTCAGAGAACCATTGAAAACCAGAGACTACTATGCGATTGTTTCATCCTACCTTGGAAATTTTCACCAGCACATACCCATGACCCCGTCGGGTGGTCGGACCCAAAACTTTCAGATAACGAGACGAGCCCATTCACCATTAAACCAATCCGACAGGATCCAATGTCCCACGAATTTTAACTCAGACAATTCGCGACTTATGTAGTCACCACAGCTGTTATCAGTGGGCATCTGTCCTCACCATCGATCTGAAGAACACCGGTGGTCATGGCTTCTCTCTAGAACTATAGACAACTTCCTCCTGTGAACATTCACTACTGAGCATTAAATATATCGTAACTTGTGCAACTAAGTTTTTTTACTTGGTTAAAGAAGCCTTAATGAGCCATGGCAAAAAAACGGAACTAACGTCTTCACTGTAAATCGAACCCACCCTACTCAGCGTTGCAGACACAGACGACTGAGTATCACTTCGACATTGGTGTCCCTTAACGAGTGTCAACATGCACGAAAAATAGGTCAAGTGAATTCTGAAGATTATTCTCACACTGACATTATTGCAAGGTGCACCTAGATGACGAGCTTCCTTAGCATTAAGGACCAGATAACATACTGGTAGTTGTTCGCCGCTGACGGTTAATGTCCTCACTTATACGAAGGTTTATAAAGTGACTACAACTAAATAATCGTAGGACTTCACCGCTTCTGCTTGCATAACATTTTCTTCATAAACACTCCTATTGCATTTAACATCCAGTGACATGATGCTCCAAAATACATCAACACCAAAACCAGTTGAATGGACACATTGAACGTTGAACTTTTCAACATTTACATGTCTCAACAGAAAGTATGTGGATTCTTCACTAGACAATTTCCATTTTGAGTTACTTGTGGTGCCAGAGACAAGTGCAAAACACACCGACGTATTCTGTTCTAGAATCATCAGAAAATATACTTTACGAAAGCAAATAATGACATATGCACGCATTGTATAAGTCATGTCTTTCAAATATCCACTTTAAATCATGGGAATGTTGACAAGACAACGATATTGTGCTTCGTTAGGCAGTAAACCTCTTCACACATTCCTTGCAGCCAATCACTGTCCATCTAAGCATTGACTGTGAAAGATATGTATGCACTTTAATGCTACATCTTATTTCGCTGAGCCAAGGTAAACATTTCTAAACCGTTATTATTCAGATATTCCGGTGAAGATTAGCATTGCTAAATAATGAGTTGGATTTTTATATTAGGCTGCACTGAAAACAGAAAGGTACATACTACTGGTTTACCCTAATTTTGGAGATTATACCTTTAAGACTCATTACTTACCTGTCAATAAGCACATGCACAACATTAATGCACCCATCGCAAAAGATCACGAGACACTCATAATCAGATAACCACTTCACTTGCTTACTTAAACACTGGTTTATTGTCATCTTTTGGGTTATACATTACGTATCACACAAAGATGAAATGAAACACACCTTGATTTGTGGATACGCCTCCTAAATCAGCTGTTGCTTCATGACTTTCAGATTCCGCCGAACAAATGGTATCAGCAGAACCATGATCAGAGTCCAAAGATTCGCTCTTTGTAAACTCATGATGAAGATTACTCTTGTAATTGTCAGTCAAACTGATATTTTGGGAACCTGAAAGGTATAACATCATAATTGAAGGTAACTGTTAGGAGTCAACAGTACACGTATGAATTACATTAAGACTCAAATGTATTTTGAATACGTCAACATATCCAAAAAATGAGCGTCAGACCAGTTATTTACTTTTAACAGACCACAAGCAAACACTTTTCAATTTAAAAAATCTAGACAGGAATCAGTCAATCATTCGCAGAAAACCCTAAAACATATTCAAGTATGCAGATGATATAGTCCTTTTAGAAAAAAATATTGCACTATTCTAAACACATTGAGCAGGAATCTTGATATATTCAACATGCGACTCTCCCGTGCCTACTGTTAGGTGAGGAGAAAAGTCAACTAATGAAGTTGTGAGGCTGCATCCATTGAGTTATCTAGGACACCTGTTATGTATGCCAAGCTATCGCCTTCCTCGTCAAGCAATCAAATTAGGTTGGAAAAGAATTATTGGTGGTCAAATGGAAACCTGGAATTAATCCACGAAGTGTTCGACTGTTAACTCCAGACGCGTAGGTAGGTTTAGACTGTCTTGTTGGGGGTACTGGGAAGATTGCAATCAGTGGCTTGAGAGTATTTGTGATACGATTCAGAATCGTCAATAGCCTAAATGCAATCAGTATTTATAAACTGGATATATCAAATTCTAGCCTTGGTAGTTGAAGCGGATTCCATATCGTGACCAAGTGATTGCAATAGAATATCTCAACAAATGAGTCACACGAACGCTTGGTCAGCGAAAGTAAATGAATCCTCAAAGTTATAGTATATTCCTGGTTAACAGTGCATTGTGAAGTTTTAGTTAAGGATGAAAGTTAATCCAGATCTCACAATTAATATATTCGGTAACAAAAGTGGAAAAAAAGAAAGTCTACGCAAACAACTATGTGAAGCTTGAGACGCATTTGACATTCAAATTCCAAATTGTGTCAAATTTTCTATATCAGGGATGGTACTACCCATTTTGAAATAGTTGGATGGACTCACACAGAACCCCCAGAGTGAAAATCAAGTGATACAGGAAGTTTAGATATGACCAGATGGTGAAATTCTTCTCTGACGTCAACTGATGCAAATCAAACTGACGTCGAATGCTTTTTTTTCCTTACTAATCCTTGTTGTGTAAGTCGAAGTAACAGACCAAAAGAAACCCTTAGGATCACCAAACCAATACGTGGAAATGACCCACTGTTTTGTGCACTGAGGGCTACCCACTGATACTTAGAAAACCAGTGACTGTAAAACCCTAAACACTAAGTATTATTCTTTGTCAAGACATGCTTCAATTTGTTTCAACCACAGAGAAGAAAATCCTGAAATTCTAAACATTTGAACTATATTAAGTCTCAACCAGAATATATGCGAATCTATCACTCATTGAAAACACAAACATCCTAAATTAGTCTTTCCTAAAACTACACACTACTTAACAGTGACAATTAAAGATTACAACAATCCTACAAGAACACTTACTCGACTTAAATTCGTAGAACTGGAGCAGGAACTTTTCGGCTCTAGGATCCTTAAAGACATTCATATTACCAAATAAAGACTTACCTCTCCTAGCATATAAATGCCTGGGTTGGTTTCAATTTCTTCTAGAGCTGCCATGAATTGTGGGTTCGACTTGGGCTTCCCCCATTTTTCCTTGAATTTCTCATAAGGAACGATGTTCTTAACAGGGACAAACGATCTGAGTCGTCAAGATTAAAGGTATGCAGCTTACACCTGATATGTTCCGTAGAAGAATATTGGCAACTTTCCTTTAGGTATCTGAACATCAGGAGGCAAAGGATTGATCTGCCAATATGGGAAGTCACAATCAAATTACCCTTGCAGGCCAGTTGGAAAATCCTTTTATTTTAGCGAACACTTTATCGCCTGGAGAATGAGACATCTGCTCTCCCCAAAGTTTGTAAATACGTTTAAATCTGCCGCATCTGCGACGTCATTGGTTGTAACAAGTGAAATGGAGCTTCCTCAGTTTATAACTAGGAATAATACTTTAAATAAAGTGAGATCTCTGCATTTCTGTCTTGTAAGTAGCTGAAAACAAAATGACTGCCGTTTAAAAATGATTGCATATTTAGTGTTCAGACACAACAGATCATTTTTCACAGCCTATTGTAAACCGAAATCGTGTCCTTGTTATGTCTGTGAAAAGTTTGACTGATGGTTTTGTTACCAAAACAATATTTATTTACCAGCAACTACTGCAAACGCAGTTAGAATATTCTCTGGGTCTGTTAATAGCCTATGATATCCAGTATCTTCCTGAAGATCTGATATAAAACATTTAGATTTTCAGTGATCAGTTCTCGGTGTCTGGGAACACTGCTAGGTCTTCAGCTGATTCTTATACTGTAAATCCTTTGTTTTGACCACTGTAGCTCAGCTGGACACAGCAAAGATTTGTATAAAGGTGGTATCGTTCATGAGACTTACAAAATTCATATTGCAAGCAGTCCTTCAGATGGGACAAAAAACATTGGGAAATGTGGCATTAGTGCAATGGAAGTACGGCTGGGAAAATGAGCAGACAAAGATAAAGGGCAGATAGAGTAAGGAAAATATACATAAGGCGAATTGGCGGGCTGCTTAAATTACTGGGCTACCTAAATTTCCATCCGGTATAATACATAAACTATTCTCCAAACCTCATTTGCCTATGTTTTCGGGTCGCTACATGAACTCACAAATAGCACTTCCCAACAGAAGTAAGAGAAAACATCGAAAAGATTTGGATATTGCTTCAGATGGAACAAAAAAGAGACGCACGATATACTGCCTAATAACACTTTACTGGAAGATCCTCTATGAAGAGTTGGTATTTTTTAATTTAAATACGCTGAATATTCTGCACTATGTATTATTATTACTGGTCTGTTAGGACGCTCGCCGACCATGTATGTAGTCCGGGGTTCGATCCCAGGCCGACGCACACCTGGTGGTCTATGTTGGCTGTCACTTATATTGATTTTACTCAAATGTTTAATCAATTTGTACTCACGTATATAAATGAAGCAAGAACGTTGTGTCAGTACCTTGATGTGAATATGAGCAATAATTTGTGCTCGAAACATCATCAGTAAATATTACTGTATAACAGTGTGTGATTTTATCAAAATAAAATTTTGTCCATATGTGATGAGAGCTGTTTTTTTTGTCCTTCACGTTCCCAGTGGAACATAGGGCTTCAAGCTAATGGCTTGAAGTTTCTGTAGCAATGTTTATTTTACAGGATGAGGTTGCTAGCCTCATGCCCAACCATTCCTCTTCACCAGCATTATTGCTGGCTTAGCGAGGTAAAGGAGTGCGTCGGTCGGGGATCGAACCCCGGACCCCGGAGCTGGCTGCTAGCCATATTGGTAGACATTAATTTACGTCAAGGTTTATGTCTTAAATATTGGTCGTGAGAAAAATAGGAACAAAGACTTTGCGTAGGCGAATACAGTTAGTATATAGATGAAACACCCACAAAGAGATGAAATGTTAACTTTCTGTGAGAAACAACCAATCAGAAGACTGTGTTTTTCTGCTAACAATAATCTATAATATGTACACGAAAATATATAAATATGTGTTGATTTCTTTATAAACGATCTGTTGCCTGGCCCTTGTCTTCTGTTGTTACACATAACGGAGTTATACTCCACCACAGTACCCAAGTTTTATCCTCATATCAACAACAATATGGTTTCGCTTACTTTTGGTTTTTTCGCCAAACCTGAATCTGCAGTCTTCGCTCAAAATTTATGTATTGAAAGCTAAACCATTTTCTATCATTCAGTTTCCAGGCCTAGTCGAATCATTCTATAAACTGATCGATTCTTCCCGATTCCTTATAGACCTCTGTAGCCTTACATCATCTGTTTAGAGCAGTTCCGGAGAACCTCAGTTAATTTTGAAGCCATTTATGAAATTCATGAATAAAAGTGGACCAAGAAATGTTCTCTGCGGTAACTCTGTACTTGCTGTTCATTGTGTGAAGTGTACATGGTTTACTTACGTGCATACTTCTCATTCTGAAGTTAGACTGCTATCCATGGTAGCAGCAGCTTGCAAATTTTCATTCTGGAAGTTTTTCACGTTATAACTTAGTGGTACACATGGTCAAAGTTACCTGCATGGTCTCTAGACAAGACGTGGAGTGGAACACTCTAATCTCGAGATTTCATCCAGTCATTACATGCTGTAGAAAGTTTAACAGCTCAGGGTCGACTCTTCTTTAGTTCTGTGCAAGATGTTTTAGTCAGATTTCCAATGACAATCGTTCAGCAGGACTTTCATCATCTTTTGCATAGTTCATTGTAAAGCTACGGGTCAGTAACACTTTATCGGTCCCCACTTTAAAAATGGGCGGCAACTGGACCTCGATTCCTCGCTAACTAGCGCCTACCCAATGAGTGATCAAACACCTATTTTTCGTGACTCAAGAAGCAATCACACGATGACTAAGTGTAGAATCCCCACACAGCATTGGATGTGCTACGAGATCTACTGTCACAAAGCAGGCAACTATTGAATAAAGAATATAGGAGCATGACCCGAGAAACTAAGTAGAGACTATACCTTCTTTATGATTTGCAAAGTTTCTTTTCTCTCCAGAACGGTGTAGAGTAATGAATGCATTTCCGCGTGTTCGAATGGGTTCCCTCGTCTCATTTAGCCACCAGAATGCCTGCAGAACACATATTCACTACTCATCGAAGTCATTTTACTTCGGTTGATTGCTTTGTGATTGTCTTTATATGACAGACGAGAACTGCTTATAGGACTTCATGTTGGTCTCGGGTTTTCCCGACGGAGCTTTGTTAGCTTCTCCAGAGCCATATTTGTGTTTTTATCGAGGTGAAGTAATCACCATGGTGTCAGAATGCTCACTGGTTTTGCATGTTGGCTAAGTGTCACTTGCTTTCTTTCCACTCAAATTCTTATCGATGCACTAGGGAAAGACTTAGCTATCTCTAGACTGTTAAGCAGCACGCTAATGTAACCCCACTTGTGTTAGTAGATAACGCACCGACTAGGTTGAAATTAAATGCCCACCTGCCACCTCCAAACTCTGTGCTGCATCTGTTTCATAGTACTCAGAATGTGCTTTGATTTGACCCCTACCTCGAGAGTCTCCCTTTGTATCAGGCTCCTATTAACATGATTTTCTGCACACCTATTCAGCCAATGAGTTCTTACCTGGGGTCAATTGCTGGTAGAGGAACAGAACATTTTGTTGCTTGCTCTAAATACCATTCACTTGCACTTCTTGTCTGCCACCAGTTAGGGGTAAACGTATGGAGAACATGTGGGAATCAGAGCTTTTCTCATTCATTTGAAACTGACCTTACTATTTTAGCGCAGTCAGTTAAGTTGATTGAGGAACTTTATTTCATATCCCCGCTAACTTATGTGTCTCGCTCCATTACTATGCTGCTTTAATCATGAATTATATTTCTTATTGGCATTTTGAATGTAACTTTGCATTAAGAAATTTTTCTTACTTACATAGTGCCTGCGGCGGAGTGTACGTAAACTGCCTTACATTCTTTGCACCTAACCTGAAAATGTCGCTTGATACTTATATCTACGCAGTGCGAGGGATTAAAGGAGGCAGTAAGTTCGAAATCCAAACCTGTGTCCTTGGAATTTCATGAAACTATGCTAATATATTTGGACCATTTAATGAAATGTTATTGTCTTAAATGTTTTGTTAGTTGTTGGCATTCGTTGAGAGATTTCAGCAGTAATTTCTATTTTTATCTACTCATTACAGTGCCGTTTTCATTTCAAGACAAGACGCATTGCCACTATGAACTCAGTGTGTAGGATTGCTGTGGACTTTTTTCATTCGAAAAACTTCAGTATCTCTTATGTTGGAAAAAGATTTGATTGCTATAATATTCCAATTTGACAAACATAACTTAGGCGCATACGTGGAAGAAGGTTATCATCTGAGTTGTAATGAAGAGAGGTTGTTCAGAAGGCAAAGGAAGCTTTATTTCCCAATATGTTCGAACAAATAATACTGTATATTGAGTGGCACTGCAACTCCATATGTAGTGAAAGAATATGAATGTCTTGCTCCTTTCTTCATGGTAAGAAATTTATCAACGCAGGAATTACTTCACAAGACTCTATATTAAGTTAACTTAGGACAAGTGGAAGTTTTTCCACTTCAATGGTGAATGAGGGAGGTTATGAAATGTTTATGACCCTATAGTAATAAATTTGACATAGAGACTTCATAGTGAAATCAAAGGATATATATTTTACTAAATTTTATGCACTTCCTTTATAGATTTGATGTTAGTTAAGTGGTCATTTAACAACTGTTGGGTGTTGCGATCAGGCTAAAATTACAACTCATAATTTCAAGAATTATTTTCATTTGTACTGGCAGCAGTTCACAAGACATCGAGTTTACACAACCACAATATCCACTTCTCACTTTACTTGGGAAACATTAACTAGGTTTTTCGAAAGAGTAGTGATGTGGTTAGAGCTGGCTGCAAGCCGAAGATTGCAGACGACGATTTACGTCAGTGTTCACACCCCGAATTAGGGTCCTGAGACAAACAATAACAAAGCTTAACCTTAGAACCATGAGGGGACTCATATTTCCAAGAGGGATGTAATGCAAGGCCCACTTCTATAACTGTTGTCCTTGAGTCTAATTTCATCATACATGTATTAATATAATTGTCTGTCGATAATTTTAGGGAGTTACCGGGGGACAACTGAGTCTACTTAGAGTATGCTGTTGAAATTGTCCACCGAGGTTGTGAGAAGTGACCACTGAGGCTTGAAGACATAAAAAGACTAGTGGTGTTTGATCTTAGATGTCTGTGCCTTGTCTTCTGTGGTATAATATAGTGAGTAATTTCGGGGCTAGACGTATAGCCTTATGCAAGGAGGATAAGTCATTTAATGAGACATTAAAGCTAAATCCATTGAGATGGCTAGGAAACGCACTGAGCATGCCAAGTCATCGTCTTCTCTGACTTACAGTGTTGGCCAACATGAACAAGTTAA